GGGCGTGGTAGTGCGCGAATGGAAGTATGGAACGCATGTTTTCCGGGTGATTTTTTTCATTTCAAGGGTCCACAAAAAACTTGAATTTAATTTGCATGATAAAATTTCCACAAAAAATCACCCTTACATTAGTTGAAAAAAAAATCACTCAAGTTTTTTAAGTCTGAAAAAACTCTTTAAAAATCACTAATGGCATGGAATATGTGAATACTAGAAAGGCTGCATCATCAAGGCTTACTGAGATCACTACATCTATCTTGCTCGCGGAGAAACACGTACTGCTCGAGGTGTTTGCAGAGCTTATGGGGAGAAAAGATTAGACCGGTGTTCTAAGGGAAAAGGAGGCTCAATGCACTTTTACAAGAACATAGTGGATTCTAAATGATAGTACAAAAAGATAATTTGAGACTAAATTTGGAATTGTCACAAAAGACAATGGACCTCCACTGAAATTAACTCTTATAAAAAGTATCACACATTTACACATCTAAAATAAAACCAACTTAAACAATACTTAATTATTTATTCATAAATATCCATATTAGACAAGCTCATGAGCTAATTTCTGAACTTTTCTTACAACTATTATAAGTTCTTATATTTGAAATTGATAGATACCCCAAATCAGCCGCCTGGATGGGAGGTCAGACTAGGTAGCCGGATCTACAGGCAACGCATTACTTGGTAGGAGGAAGATCCCTGGAGACCTCTCGGACACGGTACAGGACGCCTCATAAGTGACAGCGACTCACTTCATAGCAGCCAACCCACCAGCTGGCGCGTCCCCAGGCGGACTCTCAGAAGTGACGCGATTCAGCGACCAGCTACGGTGGTCGGCGTGTCCCCGGCCGAACACCCCAACAAGGTTCAATTGGGCGACCAGGTCACACGGGCGGTGCATCCCCGACCGCGTGCCTTTCCGGGATCCGGCCAGGCGACTAGGCTTTGCGGATAGGGTGTCGTTGACTAGGGGCAAGCGCCCAGGAAGGCGCCCCCGCGCAGTCGGGACCATTCACAACCGAGTGCACACCCAGAGACGCGTATCAGCGGATCCTGTAGAAGCAATCTTTGCTCGTTAAGCAATTTCCTTAGTTAATTCAGACGGCAAAAGAAGTTAGTTAGCGGCTGCATCAGCCTTACGTCAGCCATACCTCTTTGACTCGGCTGAAACGCCAATCCTACTTACCATGTATAAACCCCACATCTATGTATAAATATCCCCCGGGGATCATCATGTATCGGATCGACATTTTTTTAGGGCAAAACCCTAGAGAAATAATATCACATTATTCTATCTTTATTACTTGATCTTTATTTTCACTATCTCGCATAAAGATCTTTAATTTATTCTCTTTCCGGTAGTGTTGGCCTGCCGGGCAGCCATCGAGACTGTAAAAATAATATTGACGCCGTCCATGGGGATCGAAACTAATGCTCTGTAACACATGAATACCAATATTGATATGTGGTGACTGGAATGAACTATAATAAACAAAAATACCACAAACAACAGTGAAAGAGAGAAAGAGCACAAAAATAGAGAAGCTATATTTGAGGGTCAACTGAGCTTAGTAAGATAACAATAATAATAAAATAAAAAATACATACACATAGCATTCTAATCTGTACAAATTTGTTGTTAACCTACTAAAAATGTTAATTGCACTTTTTTTCCAAGTTCATGAATGAATTTGGAACTTATTCGAGTTCAGTGACTTAATTGCTATCCTTCAAATAATTCAATGACCTATTTGTACCTTTTTCCTTTAATTTATAATGAGCTATGTGAAGTAAAAATGTTGAAAAAACACAGTGGCTATTTTTACTATTAGATTCCCACAAATGCCACAAATAGTAGTAAGTTAACAACAGTTAAGAAAAAAAAAATAGTATTAGCATACCTTAAGCAGTACTATGGACAGCCTTAAGGCAGAATCGATACTCCTCAATGGAGTGTGATCAGCGGTGAAACTAAGATAAATAGCACAAATTTAAAGCAACATTAACATTATATATTGAGAAAATATCATTTTTGTCCCTGACTATTATAGATATATCATATTTGGTCCTTGACTATTATTTTTCTCAAATTAGGTGCATGACTTTTTAATTAATATCAGATTTGGTTATTCGGTCCAATTTTTCGACAAAATATTATCGAAATTTCAATCGGAAAAATAATATGTTGTAATTAGTAGAATATTTTGGTCCTTTTAAATATATTTTATTTTCTCTTTTATTTTTAAAATTTAAATTCTGTTCAGTATGACTATGTTCTGGCCCCATATAGTTGTGACTTGTGTATGGAATCTGCTTTAGCTTCAACATTAAAAGATTTCAATGAGATTGACCATGAAAAATTTCAAGTTATGACTATTTTGAGGATGCTTAACGTTCTCTTTCCAAGTTATTAAAGTCTGCAAATATGAGTTGTATGTAATCTTTTATCGGAGTTCTAATTCTTTATCATTCACATTTTGTGAAATTCTCTACGTATAATGTTGCAGTCCCTAATTGCAGAATTCGTGATTTTTGTGTTCTCCACAGTGGTGTCTGCGTTGGACAAGATCCATGGTAAGGGACTAAGGGAGAAGAAGAAAAATATAAACCGTTCAGTGAGAAAAACAAAAGAGGAAAATAGAATATATTTGAAAGGATTAAAATACCCTTTTAGTTACAACATATTATTTTTCCGATTAGAATTCTGGTAATATTTGCCGGAAAATTGGATCGAAAGACCAAATCTGATACTAATTAGAAAGTCATGCACCTAATTTGAAAAAAACAATAGTCAAGGACCAAATGTGCTTCACCGATAATAGTCAATGGACCAAAAATGATATTTTCTCTTATATATTTAACAAAGTAATTAATGGACCACATTTACAATTACCTCTTCTTAAAAGCTTGAAACTCCGACGAGTCGTGATTGAACCAAAGTTATGTAGTATCAAATGAGCTTGCTATGTACACCTCATCAAATGAGCTTGCTATGTACACCTCACTATCTTCAATAAAAATTTAACAATTTAAGTGCATTATTTTTAAATATAAAATAAACTTCATAACCTACAATTACAAATCTTACTCTCTAAAATTTTCACCCGACAAAGTTGTATGAGAACAATTAGTGGCCCATCTATAACAGAGTATTAATACGGCAAAATCGTGTCCACGTGCTCATCCCACACTATACATAATTTTTTTTTTTAAAAAAAAGTATATCTCCACAACTCTTCCAATCGTCACATCTGCTATTACAAATAGAAAGTTCCGACCTTATTTAGAGATACCATGATCTTAGGAGTACGTAATTTTTTAATAATTGAAAATGGCTTAGGTATTAATTCCTTCTCATTAACATGTTGTTTGCTTAGCAGTTGTTCAAATGGCTTTAAACGAAATAATATTTTTGGGAAATCTACCATTTTATACTCCTTCACAATAGTATCATGCTTGAACTTAATCATTGTAGCGGTGTGTACTTGTTTTGTATTTGAAAAAGTTCATAATAACCAGAAAATTCCTTAAGCCATAAACGTAAACTTGCCTTCTTTGAACTGATTTCTGTACTTCTCCACTTGTTCTTTGGGTATATGAGTATGAATTGTCACACCTATTGTGGAAAATTGTATGAATTGTCAATTGTTGCATTACTTATCCCGTATCATGGAACAAACACTCCCTACTCTTCACGTTCTCTTTTGATCTGGTTTCAGATACTTCATAGGTAGTGCAGTGCGTACCAAACGGAGCTTCATGGCTTTCTTAGTCTGATCAGGATGCAGATGTGAACCAAGGATAAACTGGCCAGCCATATTGTTTCTATGTTACTCTCCTTTATAACTAGGGGTTGTTAGTGAACAGAGTTTTTGATAAACTACTTGTGTTCGTGTTCGGTAAGCATTCATTTATATTAAGGTAAACGAAAATAAATGAACAAATTTTAGAGCTCGGTTCATAAACGAAAAGAGTCTAAACAATTGTAGGCTCATTTGCTAAGAGCTCGTGAACAAGCTCGTTTATGTTTGTTTAATAATGTATCTAAAATGACGTCGTTTTGATGTTAAAATAATTCCTTGCTCCGCATGCGTGTTAGAATAATGAATATTCTGGGATAAGATAATATATTTTAAGAGTTAAAATAATGTACTTTACGTGTTAGAATAATGTACTTTAATAAAATTTATGGGGTAAAATAATGTATTTTATAAGTTATAATAATATACTTTATCTGTTAGAATAATGTATTTAATAAGTTAGAATGATGTAGGTTATGTATTTTTAGACCACGAGTTGTAAATGTCTTAGCTCTACATTGAGCATAGCCCATTGGGCGTCCAATCCATTAGGGGGTGTTGCCCAACCTAAGGAATGATTCTTAAACATTTCAATTGTCGACTTGAATTGACATCTTCCAAAATTGAGCATCCAAAGGAATCCAACCCCCAATACACATTTCAACGTTAAAAGTGGAAAGCGAAATATAGAACGAACATGCAGCCATGGCCGAGTATATTGCATCACAGCTTTTCTGCACTATCAACTCTACTCTTATTTGGAAAATTCATGCGGCCTAAGCTAACAGTTGCTTGTCTAGCCTTTCAACACCATAGAATATCTTCCATCTGTTATATACTGTTCGAACCTATGACCATCCAATTGGAATGGTAATTACTGGGAATGGTACAAGGTAGTCATACATAATATAATATAATATGGTATTTCTCTGGAAGAAATTTTTTGTTGGCGTACGGATTGGGTCCTCTGGATCGTTAATTTGTGTACTGTGTTAGTGACGACTGAATCTGATGCTTAACTTACGGCTTTAATGTCGGTTTAGTATTGAATCTGATGCTTTTCTTGAAATTTCATGATCCGCTTGTTTCATGTGAATTGTAAGTTGGAAGGTTTTGGACTATAAATACGTTGTTTCTTTGCATGGTTTTTAACCATTTTTTAAGGATTAAGGTTTTGGGTGTTTGTTTTCTGAGGTGAAAATGGCAAATCAACAGCAGCCGCGTCCCCTGTTCCGATTTGCTTCCATGTTTCGCCCTACGGCTCCGGCGCCGGCACCGGCACCGGCACCACAGCCGACTCGCCCGCCTGCGCCTGCCGCAGCTACGGCACCACAACAGCCAGTTCGGCCGCCCCTGGCTGCCGCCTCATTTAGGCCCCCGGCGGCGACTACTACTGTTCGGCCAACTCAACCTCAAGAATCCACCCCTCCACCGCCGTCACCGCCACAACCCGCCGTAGCAACGTTGTCTCCGGTTAAACCGTCACCGCCGTCCCCACAGCCGCCACCCACACGTTCTCCTCTTCAACGTTCCTCTGTTCCTGCTTCTCCGACGAGGTCCCCTGTTCCAGCTCCTTCTCTGCCTCTTCGAACACCTTCACCACCATCGCCGCCGCCGCCGCAACCAAAACCCGCCGTTACACTGTCGCCGCCGTCACCAACTCCGAGGTCTTCTCCTACCATACGTTCCCCAATTATGGCTTCCGCTCAGCGCTCCCCTGCCTCAGTTTCACCGCCGCCGCCGCCAATGTCTCCTCCTCCACCACCGGCAGCTTCACCGCGAATCCCCTCTCCTGCCTATTCTCCGGCAGTTAAGCAGTCGCCGCCGCCGCCGCCAGCCTCTTTTCCAACCGGGCCCAGATCTCCTCCAACTAGAATTACTTCATCGGTTCCAACTTCTCCGGTTCAAAAGCTACCAGACCCAATTACTCAATTCACTTCCTATTCTCCAAAACCCAAAGTTCAGAGTCCCCCTCAACCATTCCAGAATTATAATCCCCCGCCCAAACCAGCTTCTCCGGTGAGAGCTCCACCGCCATCCCCAAAAACTATTGAGCCTTTTATGAAAACAGCTCAAATCACGCCCATGTCCCCTCTAAAACTTCCCAAACCGGCCCAAACACAGTCCGATTCGGAATCTGAACCAAAAATTCCGATTGATCAGAAAACAGTGGTGGTTCAAGAAACCACAGAACGAAGCAGAGGTTACATTCCCGCAATTAGGCACCATGAGAGCAAACAAAACGAAGCAGACGAGTATGGGATGAGTGTTCTGACCCTAGCAGGGGAGAATCGAGGCGCCATTATGGACCTCAGCCCAGCTCGCAAGAAGTATGGCTTCAACAATGGCACCCCACAGAAGCTCCAGACAGAACAGAGCGATACAGAGAAATCTGCTGGGAGCGGAAGTGACAACGAAAGAACACCTAAAAATCCGAATGGAATGAAAAGAAGATCACTGCCCATGACGGCCTTCATGAACAGCAATGTGCAGGCAATAAACAACTCAATTCTGCACAACACTACTTGCAATCACCATGATCCTGGAATTCATCTCATCTTCTCCGGGAGAGAAGGCTTCAAGCCTCATTATCTCAAGGGCAGCCCAAAGACCAGATAAATTCCAAGCACTTTAGTCATTGCTGCGTCTCTTTCCGGGAAGAATCTTTAAAAAGAATTGAGTAATGCAGGATGACATGCATGGATTTGGATCATCATTCTCCATATATATATATAGCTGTAATCCACTTTCTAGTGGAGAGTAATAAGTAAAATAAATATGCATGGATGCCATTGGAGCATATATAGGCAGAGGAGGATCGAATATTGTATCCTGTTGCATTTACTGATGGAATATTGTGTAAGTATTAATATTGTTGTATGGAAGCTAAATTATTGAGTTACATTCAATATTTCAGTTAACTAAGACTTACACTGAAGTTGAGTATTAGTATAAAAATTTGATATATTTAAAAATTATATTAAAAATACTATTAAATGCGCAAAAAAAAATTAAATTTAAAAATAACTAAGAAGTACATAAGAAAATAAATAAAGAAGAAAGTGTTGGTTTGATAAATGAATAATAAATATGACATGTAAAATGTGATAATAATGGGGTGTTTGGTAGTATGGCATTGCAATTCCATGGCCATTTCTACCAAACTCGACGGAATTGAAATTACATGGTTTGGTTGGAGGGAATTGCAATTTCATACTTTTGTGGAATTGTAATTTCATGGTAAATTATCATTTTACCCTCATTATTATTATATTAATATGAGTAAATACCCAAAATGGTCCCTCAACTATAGCTAAATTCACAAATTGGTCCTCGACTTTTAATTTTAACCAATTAAGTCCTTAACTTTGCAATTTTAACATGATTTGGTCCTCCATCTATTTGACCGTTTGTTGACCGTGACCTTTGAGGATATATATGTAATTTCATCACCGTCCGTCCTCATCCGCCCGGCCTCTAGGATGACGCTGCACCGGTTTGGAAACACGTTGTGTTTCGCTCTGGTACGAACTCAACTACATTGAATCTAAAGGGAGGATGAAGAAAAGTGACATGATTTGGCAAATTGCTTTCGGCAGTGGATTCAAATGTAACGGTGCGGTATGGAAATGCAACCGGAACCTTAAAAAATTGACGATGAACCATGAAATTACATATATATCCTCAAAAATCACAGTCAACAAATGGTCAAATAGACGGAGGACCAAATCGTGTTAAAATTGCAAAGTTAAGGACTTAATTGGTTAAAATTGAAAGTCAATGATCAATTTGTGAATTTAGCTATAGTCAAGGGACCATTTTGGGTATTTACTCTATTAATATATTATACAAAGATATTTTAGTATTTATTTATTCACTTCTTCCCTCTCAATTCCCTATTATTCTATTATTTCATACGAAACAATGTAATTTAAATTCACACTTTATTCTTTAATTTCCCACGGAATTACAATTCCTTTCCGCCCTAATTCCCTCCTCCCAACCAAACGCACTATTAAAGGGAGTATGTGTTTTAAGTTTAAAGGTGATATACATTTTAGAGAAAATTTCAATTTTTGTCCACTGACTATTGGAGTTGTGTTAATTGTAACACTTGACTATCAAAAATGTTAATTTAGTACTTGACTATGCAATTTCTATCAATTTTGGTCACGCCGGCCAAATTACCGACGAATTTTCACCAAAAAAACTTAAGTCAACAAATGTATTGAATTGGAAGGGGGAAAATAGTCTTTTCTGATCCACTACCGGCGAAGGGGTTTGTGCGACTTAATTTCTGTTGAATTCCTTCATGTTGAATTCCCTTAATGTTTAAAAATTCATTTAATTTCTATTCTTAAAATCATATTTTGCCGTGCATTAATTTTCACAATCTGTTTGTGGGACTGAAGCCTAGCAGCTGAGGAATGCCCGACGGTGGCGCCGCCGTCGCCAGCGGTGGCAAGGCGGTTTTCGGCGACGATTATGTCGCTGGAAATTAGAAATTTTTCAGAATCATCGAGATGGTCTTAGGAAGGTCAGATTGATGATGCAATTGATGACTTGTTGCCTGATTGTGTCCGATTTCTCGAGATTTCTCCCTAGCGAAGAGATTTTTGCGCGCAATATCGCACAAATGTCAGACTGGCAGATTTTGTTGAGGAGCGGCCAAATTTGGTTGGCGATCAGTCAATTAAACATCCAACTGTGTGAATTGCACCACTGGATTGGAGTCGCCTGGTGGATTTAGAGGAGCGGTTGACCTTGATAGGGGGCGATTTGCACGGGAGAGGCCATCTTTGGATGTTCTGAGAGCGGAGATGCGAGCGGCGCTCCGTCTGGAAGGGGAATTGCAGATTGGATCATTGAATAAGAGAAGTATTCTCCTGCGATTCACATCAGAGGATGATCGGAGAAGGCGAGAAGAGTTTGGCTGAGGTCTCAGGCCGTAGTGGATCAGAAAAGACTATTTTTCCCCTTCCAATTCAATACATTTGTTGACTTAAGTTTTTCCGGTGAAAATTCGTCGGTAATTTGGCCGGCGTGACCAAAATTGATAAAAATTGTATAGTCAAGGTACTAAATTAACATTTTTGATAGTCAAGTGTTACAAAATAGTCAGTGGACCAAAATTGAAATTTTCTCTACATTACTATACCCTAACGGGTAAAGGACTATAATGAAGTAACATAAATTAATATAAGTTGTTTATAGTTGACTACCTCAAATAAAATAAAATAAAATAAAGTCAATATACAAAAAAATCATTAAAATGACCAAAAATGTCCAAAAAAAAAATGATAGTCTGGGATGTTAAATGACAAAAATGATATTCTGTGACTAAATTTAGAATTGATACCTAAGACAAGTGACATCGGATGAAATTAATTCTATCTATTATTTATTTATTTATTCTCAATACTATATACTTTAACTAACAAAACTTTTTTAGCATAAGATAGATCAGGGAAGTTCACCATCCTTTGGGCTTTGGTAACTTGGAAAGATAACATTGATAGTCTAATAATCAGAAATGAGAAATACAATTTAATAGTGCTCTGATCTTCATCACATACATAATTAAGGAGTATTTATATATTGGGAGAAGAGGAGTATTTATATATGGCATTTATAATAATAATAATTAATTAAACCTTTTTATCAACCGGAACTAACGATATCCTTAATTAGATTATCTCAATGAAGGATTTGTGGGTGCCTCATTGGCTCATAATTATACTGAACCGCACTGAGCTGAGAAACACGAAATTGGACGTCTTCAAGCATGAAGGAGAGGTCATTGAGTTTCCTGGTGAGAATATCAGCGAAAGCGGTATCCACATCTCCAATAGCAATGCGACACGCCTCAACGGAAACCATGGCGCCGTCTATGTGGCCCTTCAGCGGCGGCGAACTGGCCATGAGGGTAGCCGCCTTTTGCAGGTGCTTCAGCCTGTAGAGACTCCCCGTCAACTTACCCAGATGCTGGGCCACGCCGTCCGAGCAATACCCTAGCCCTGATATGAGAGATATTAATTTATTAATGGGGAACCAGTTACAACAAAACCACAAGACTAAACTAATACAAACTACTAACAGTCTCAACACCTGACGCGTTCTCCGACAGCTGCTGGAGACTTCTCAGCCTCACCATCCTGTTCACGAACCGCTTCACCACCTTGGTTTCTTCGATGCTCATTGCAATGGCGTCGTGCGCCAGGAGCGTCGCTGAGTCGCCGTTGGGGACGCAATCCTGCGCAGAACATTCGCCGGCACCGCACATCAGTACCACCAAGTAGCTGACAATGAGAACCACAATCGCCAGGTTTTGGTTTGCCATCATCGATCGATCTCTAGTTTACTTATATTTGCGACTTTCAATTCGGCTACCTATACGGTGATTGATATCTGTAATATATATAATATGTGATGGAGTTTTGATCGAGTTATATACTTATATATATAGGTTAAGGTTTGGGAACTGAAGAAACTCAAGTGGAGATCAGAGCAAGGTGAAGGTACTAGGTAGATGATACGAGGTGAGGTATGTTTTGTGTGTTTGTGAAGTTGTTGAGATTAACTGCGTAGCTAATGGAAGAACGGAACTAATAAATTTGTCACTCAAGTTACTCAAATGAGTTAATATCCATTTGATCCCTAGCATTTTACTAATTTAGTCATAGACTACCAAAGTTGTTTAATTTAGTTCTTGATTATACAATTTTTACCTAAAATAGTCCCTCAACTATTAGGATTTCACCATTTTGGTCATAAACTACTAAAGTTGCTCAATTTAGTCCCAAACTATATATGTAATTTTTACCTAAAATGATCTATTGACTAATAGGATTTCACCACTTTGATCCTCGACTACTAATAGGGATATACCCCCGGTAAGCCCGCCCTACAATTGGTAACGACTGTAGACCGTATATCTTGACCCTCTCGAACCGTACTCGACCCGAGTGGCGCCTGACCGACCGACCGTCCCAAGAGCGGTCGGTCCCGAACGAGCCCTTCGCCTAGGTCAAGATCGCCATCAGGCCGGCCGACCACTATCACCCTTACGACTAGACCCGAACTGGCCACAGGCCCGCAACCCTAGAAAAGGATCCAGGCTCTAGCCACCGCGTCGCGGCCAACCAACCGGCCTCGCTTGTAGCCGGTGCATGCCCGCCACGTGCCAGCCATGCCGAGAACCCGGAGCTCTCCCCTTTTTTCTCCTATAAATAGTGCATTAAATGCAACTGAGATGGGACTTTTAGCCGGTGCATAAGTATGCGCTCTGAGGACGCTGAAGCCTCGTGGTAGGAGGTCGCAACTGACGGCTCTAGTAGCAAAAGAGGGTCGGGAGGTGGCGTCGTTATCACAAGCCCAGAAGGATTCAAAGCATACTACGCTCTGATTTAACACTTGAAAAGCTAAATGCGTTTCAGGCATATGTTGTAAAGCATGTTCCCCGAATGGATAACGCTGACGCCGATATCGTCTCGATACTGAGTCAAGATGCCCCGGAGCATATCTCGAAGCTCGCCCGCGTGTTAGTGATCCCGACCCCTTGCATTGATCACCCCCGAGTGATGCCTGCTAATCCGACTGAGGAGAATTGGATAACTGATATCATGAGATACCTTGAAGACGGCCGACTCCCAAAGGACGAACAGCGTGCCCGAAAGGCTAAACTCAGAGCACCGAGGTTTCAGGTAGTTGACGGACGCCTCTATCGGCGATCATATGGAAGACCTCTGATGAGATGCTTGACCGATTTTGAAGCAGATCTCGTAATGACTGAGCTACACTCAGGTCTATGCTCGGCCCATCAGGGAGGGCAATCCCTGGCGCGAAGGATCATGCTGATTGGTTACTACTGGCCGTCCATACAGTTGGACTGCGACAAACGGGCAAAGGAATGCGAAACGTGCCAGGTCTACGCCAGGATGCCCGGCATGCCTGCCACCTTCTATCAACCGGTCAGCACGGCAATTCCTTTTGCTAGGTGAGGGGTGGATATCATCGAACCGTTTCCCCATTTGTCAGGCCGGCGAAAGTTCATAATAGTAGCCATTGACTACTTTTCCAAATGGGTCAAGGCCGAGCCTCTGGCCACAATCACCTCCCAGCAGTGCGCCCGGTTCCTTTGGCGAAACGTGGTTTCCCAATTCGGCGTACCCGTCCAGTTGGTCACCGATAATGGCAAACAGTTCGAGGGACAATACTCCCAAATTTTTTTTGCCACAGTAGAAACAAAGTCTATTTGGTCGTCCGTAGCCTATCCGTAAGGCAATGGCCAGGTCGAAAACGGAAATCGCACCATCCTTGATGGCCTAAAAAAGAAACTGCACTCCTCCGGTCGATCATGGGCGGACAAACTTCCGTTCATCCTGTGAAACCGGACCACCCCGAGAGAAGCAACAGGGGAAACGCCATTCGCCCTCGTGTACGGGGCGGAGGCCCGGTTACCGATCGAGGCGTGGATCCCGACCTCCCGAGAAAGGACTTACCAAGAGAGCGAGAACGATCAGTCTCAAGCCCTCGACCTCGACTGCATAGAGGAAAAAAGAGAATTCGTAGGTCGAAGAGTAGCGAAATATCTGAAAAGGGTGAAGGCAAGTCATGACGTTCGGGTTCGCCCCCGTTACTTCCACGTGGGCGACTACGTTTTGAGAAAGCGAGAGGCTAGCCAGCCTCATGAGGGCAGGAAGTTAGCACAAAATTTGGAAGGCCCTTACGTCGTCGCGGCTGTTGTACACCCGGGAACTTACAGGTTGGAAACAACCACCGGTCGCCCGATCGACAGGACCTGGAACTTAGATAACCTAGTGCTTTTCCGGCAGTAGTAGCTATTAGATGTTATTCTCTTTTTCCATTGTAACCAGCCGCTGGGAGTAGAAATTAAGGTGTTGTACCCGGCTGGTGGATTTGTAATTTCATATGTTTGTAATCGGCGATCGGGATTAACTGCTAGACCAATGTACCCGACCGACCACTCATGTATTCCTTTTCAGAAAATCTTCATGTTAGTACGTGAAATCTTGGGTAGTGATCGCTCCCCACTAGCACGCACGAACCGCATACGACCGTCTAGGGACCAATACTCGACCGCAAAGTCGCTTAAACTTTATTTTGGTTCTCTAACCGATGCCGACAGCAAAGTCGCTTAAACTTTATTCCGGTTCTCTAACCGATGTCGACCGCAAAGTCACTTAAACTTTATTCTGGTTCTCTAACCGATGCCGACCGCAAAGTCGCTTATACTTTTCCCGAGTCCTGAAACGGCAGCAGCCACAGAAAGCACAAAAGTTCACTTTCAGGTTTGGTATATGGCTCGAATCCTTACTGACCTTGATACGGTCGGCGTCATTGCCACCGCCAAACGCGCTCGGCCTACGGACCGACCGACATGTCGGCTTAAAGCCGACCATAAAGAGGACAACTCTCCTCGAGCAAACATGCCGAGAACGGTGTAACTCGTTCCCCTCCTCTCATGCCCACCGTCTGAACTCGGGCTAGGGGGACTAAGCATAACATTAAAACAAACGCCAACAAGCATAACATTAACAAACGCCAACACCCAATACCCCGAAACATTATGCAATCCAACGAATAAGTCGGAACGCTTAAGCGAAACCGAGCTGGGTTACTGTAATAGCCCGACCTTCTCCATCGCTAGCAGCTATCGAGCTCGGGCTAGGGGGGCTACGCTGGGCCCCATAACCAAACCCAGCACCGAAACTTGGACAAACCCCTTGCAATTTTTCCCGATCGAATTGCCAAAATAGCCCAACCCATGATCCTGGGGGCTAGGCAAGCTGGCCGCCCTTGTGGCACCGCAAGCATGATTCGATCAAAGCGATCTGATATCGCAACCAGTCGGTCGAACCGAGGGGTGAGACTTCAAACCTAATAATTTGACCTAAGCGACCGGGTGTCGCGAACAGTCAGTCGAACCGAGGGGTGAGACTTCAAAATAATTCGACCTAAGCGACCAAATGTCACAAACAGTCAGTCGAACCGAGGGGTGACTGAAGCAAAGGCGAAAAATTAAGTGGACAATCGAACCGAATGATGAAACTTAAGCAAAAACATAATTTTATTATTAGAAGCATCGTTTAAGTAGTGCCTGGCACATATGGGACCGGGCTCCCAGCAATACCCGAACCGGTGCGCTCCTTGCCGACCCTGATCTCGCCAGTCTTCTCGACCGCAGCTGTGGACGGCTCGGATGCCTCCACCTCGGCATAAGGCATCAGCTCGGGATCAGCGATGTGACACCCCGTAAATTCAAACACTAATCAAGGATTAATTGAGGAATTAATCCAAATCTCTTTGCTAATTTATTCCTAAAAATCCTGAAATTTAATAGTTGAGGGACTAGATTTTGACTAGTCACTTAAGTCAAAGGTTGTACCTTGTGCTTCTTGAATTGTGCCCTTGTTCCCTTGTCTTTCCAACATTAGTAAGGGTAGGAATGTCTTTCTACCTAAAGTTTGTGATCCAAGCTAACCTAGCAAGGCTCTTTCATTTCATTCACTCCTCAACCTAAGAGTGGGGCCCGAAGGGATAATTTTGGAGTACAGGGTGTACCCACGGGCAGGGCCCTACCTGCCGCCCCACTTGCGGAGTACATGGTTCGTGGGTGTATGTACCCGTGGGCGAAACCGCGGGTGGTTGTCCACCCATGGCCCCACCCGCGGGGAACACTTGTGGTGGTTGGTGGGGATTTGTTTCCCGTGATTCTTTTGACTCGGTATTGATGTTTTGACCTCCCGATGTTGTTTTATTGGGATATTTGTGAGTCTTCTTGATGTTTCGTATGTCTAGAATGGTATATTAGGAATCCATGTAGGATTTGGTGTCTTGAATCGTGCTAAGGGTCCAACCTTGTGATTCGTTGGGCTAATTGCGAGTCTTGAATGTTCTTTGGAACTACTTTTGGTTTACCCGTTTGATAACCATGCTAGTTTGATGTTGATATGCTAGTGTGTGTGGTTTGTTCCTTCGTATGGAGATTGCCAACTTGTGTTGACAATCATTTGGTGTTGGATTGGAATCCTTTGTTGTTGAGTATGGTCTCATGTCTTTGTTGTGATCTCTTGGTTGATTCCTATGATATGAACGTATGATAATCGTTGTACCCTTTGTTGATACTTGATTAAGACTATTGTTGAGTCTTGGTCTTCTTGATGATGATGATGACCTTGTGTGTGATTATGATTGAGATTGGTGGTTTGTTACTTGAGCTTTGCTCACGAGATTGGCGGATTTGTGATATGATATTTAATGGTACCCTCGTGTACTAAGAGATCGGTGGTGAATAGGAGTGTCGGCGGGGGGGGGGGGGGGGGGGGGGGGGGGGGGGGCGACGGTCCCCGGAGGCAAAAGGTTGGACTCAGAAGTACAGGGTGGTACTAGGAGGTAAAGGTTGGAACCGAAATAAGGCCATGGTAGCCATAAGGTTGGAACATGGCATAAGGTTGGAACTATGATACTTGTGACATGTAGTTGTCACTGTGGCATGTAGTTGCCACCGTGTGTATGTGAATTCTTTGCTTATGAGCATTGATAAGCGTAGTTTCTAGGCATTATTTAGAGTAATTTTAGTGAGTGATTTGCATGAATAAATTAAGTTTTAGGGTTGGTCTTATTATAAATATTATATTTATTTATTTGTTACTAGTTTAGATTGGTTTTAATAAATATTAGAATAATGTTGCATTTTTATTAATATAAATAGTATTTTATTACTATGTTTTATTAGGATGTGTCATTAAGTTATAATTAGTTTATTTTAACTTAATTTTGTTTTGTTTTTTACTTAGGGACTTGCGCAGCAGTAAAGGAAAAAGAGGGAATTAGGTTAAAGGGGGGTTTGTTTCTTTCACGGCAGTAGAAGTAAAAAAAGGGGATAACAACCCTTTTAAATGGTTTTTGTTTGTGGAGTCGGCAGAGGAAGTACGAGACGGAAAGGAAAAAAGAAGAAAGGAGTGAATAAAACGGAAGCCTGGGAGCAGCAGTAGTGTGGTCGGCGAGGAGTTTCCAGCGAGGAAGCAAGGGATTATTCAAGATTCCATAGCCAGAATTCTTGAGCTTCAATCGCGGCTACCTTCTTCTTAGGCTTGAATTACTTTCTTTCATCTCTATTTTTATTCTTGTTCAAATTTCCAGAATGTTATTTATTGAACTTTCCTTACCTTTAATTATGATTATTAGCTAAAACTTTAATTAGGGATTTGGATTAGCCTATATTTGATTAATTGACTATTCTTCATGTGTTGATTCTTCCAATTTCAATTTAATTATTGAACTTGATTATATTTATTTTATGTGTTTTATTTGTGGATTGTGTGACTGGCCATTGCATAATTCTAATATCAGGGTTTATAAGAAGAACTGACAGGTGAATTATGAACCTAGAACTCGTAAGATAAACACAATTGACCTAGACTAGACATAGCTTTAGGTATTTGTGGTGAGATTTGATTGTTGCTTATTGGGTTCAATTAATGTTGGTGAGATATCGACGGATGATCACAGTTAATTGGATACAACCTAGTAGCTCGACGGAGTATTAGGATATAATTGGAGCAATCATCACTATAATTACAAGAATTAATATTTAGGAGAGTTAGTTAATTATCTAATAGGTGAACCCAAATCCCTAGTCTTCTCTTAATTGGAATTTTTCTTAACTTTAGATTCATAATTATTCTTTTTAATTACATTAATACTATTTGTTTGCATTTTTCCTTATCATCAAAATTGATTATTCAAGATAACAGTTAATAGTGTTCTTCGTGGGATCGACCCTGGAATACTCCAGGAATTTATACTGTGATTGACTCTGTGCGCTTGCAGATTATAGCAATCAAGTTTTTGGCGCCGTTGCCGGGGAACACTTTATTAAACTGTTTTCCTTAAAATTTTCTTTTCAATTTTTTTTTTTTTAGGTTGTTAGGTTCGTTATTATTTTATTTTTATTTTTATTTTTATTTATTTAGTTTTTATTTTTCTGTTTTTATTTCGTTTGTTTATGAACTTAAGGCGATCAAAAAGACATAAGAACGTTGAATTATTTCCTATTGATCTTTAAATTGAGCGTACTTGCAGAAAAAACAGGGTACGAAGGCGGCTAGAAATGGCTGAAAACAATATAGTGGGTCAACAGGATGACCCCGTACCACCAATAGTTCCACCTCCTCAAAATCATGCAGCTCAACCACGTCTTCGTGACATCCAAAGACCGGTAATAGCTATTAACCCTTCTTGCATTCAATTATCTGATGCAACTAGGAATTATGAACTCAAGACTTTCCATCTGAATATGCTCCCTACCTTTAACGGTTTGGGAAGTGAAGATGCTTTAGGTTTCATGCGAGAGCTCTATAGTACGGTACAAACTTTACCATTAAATAATTTATCTGAAGAAGAGCTTAGAATGAAATGTTTTCCATATTGCATGAGGGGTGATGCTAGGCAATGGTTGTTAAATTTACCAGAGGGTTCTTTAAGAGCTTGGGATGATGTTTACAATGCTTTCATGTCTAAATATTATTCATCTCAAAAGACAATGGACTATAGGAGTAGGATATGCACTTTCACTCAAAGAGAGGTTGAACTATTTCATGAAGCATGGGATCGTTTTAAATTGCTTTTGACACAATGTCCACACCATCAATTCCCATTGTTATTGTTGACACAATTCTTTTATGATGGTTTAACTCCTAATTGTCAGTCTCTTGTAGATACTGCTGCAGGTGGATACACAGGTGATAAAAATAGTGATGAATTAGAAGCTATCTATGAGAGCTTAGCTACTAATTCTCGACAAAAAGCAGTGAGAGGTCTAAGGACTGCTGTGCATGAAATTAGCACACAATCTGAGTTGACAACACAAGTGGCTGAATTGACTAAACAGATGAACTTATTGATGACTCGTGATAGTTCGAATAGAGAATTTTGTTCTTATTGCAATACATATGGTCATAATTCTTCTGTTTGTATGAATGCAGAGTCATCGCAACCATCATATGAGGAAGCTAATTACATGGGATCCAACATGGGTAGGCAACAACCAAGAAATGATCCATTTTCTAATACATATAATCCAGGTTGGCGAAATCACCCTAACTTCTCATGGAGAGATCAAGGTAATGCAAGACCAATGGGACCACTCGGATTCCAGCAACATGGACCATCAGGATTCCAACATCAGCAAAACAGACCTTTCCAGCAGCCACCTGCACCACAACAGTCTCAACCCCCTGCTCAGGAGAAGAAGCCTCAATTGGAGGAGATGTTCATGCAATACATGGCTAGCCAGGGGACACTATGATGAAGAAAATGGATGCAAAAATTGATAAGATTGCTCAGTCCAGCCAAGCATCCATTCATAATTTAGAGGTGCAAGTAGGTCAGTTGGCTAAATTGGTTGCAGAAAAAGATCGAGGTAAGTTTCCTAGTACCACTGAAATAAACCCTAGGGAAGGAGCTATGGCTGTCACCTTGAGAAGTGGTAAGATATTGAATGAAGTTTTGAAAGAAAATGAACCCACGAGGGTTGAGAAAGAGAGTGATAAAGAAGATGATCAAGTGCCTAAAGAGAATTCTAGTGATCAAAACCTCACTTCCTCTATAGTAAAACCTTATGTACCCCCCATTCCGTATCCACAAAGGTTACAAAAGAGGAACCAGGACAACAACTTTAAAAGATTTTTAGAGGTTTTTAAAAAATTGCAAATTAATATTCCTTTTGCAGAAGCACTTGCCAATATGCCATCTTATGCCAAGTACATTAAGGAAATTGTATCTAATAAAAAGAAATTGGAAGAGTTTGCTACTGTGCACTTAAATGAGGAGTGTAGTGCTATTCTACAAAGCAAATTACCTCCTAATTGGAATTTTTCTTAACTTTAGATTCATAATTATTCTTTTTAATTACATTAATACTATTTGTTTGCATTTTTCCTTATCATCAAAATTGACTATTCAAGATAACAGTTAATAGTGTTCTTCGTGGGATCGACCCTGGAATACTCTAGGAATTTATACTATGATTGACTCTGTGCGCTTGCAGATTATAGCAATCAAGCATGTCTTGATGTATTCTACTTTGTGATCAGTAGAATGCATCCTGAGTTGTTTGTCTTTCATGTTTGTTGTCTTGTTGTTGTTGTGAGGATGGTGATTCCTCTTTCTTTTGAGAGTGTTTGATGAGTCTTTGAAGTTGACTTCTCTCTTGGGTTTTGAAATGATATATATACTTTATTCCGTTTCAAAATAGTTTTGACTTATACTTATCTATATATGTTATTTAACGCGTATTGATGGGTTACCAGCAATATTCGCTGACCGGGTGTTATCCCCATGTTATGTTTTCCTTGTTCTACAGGTTTTGAGTTGATGTCCGAGAGCGCTAGACATGGATCGCTAGATAGATTAGCTGTCCTGTGTAGACGTTATGTTTTGTTGGCCTGTGAGCCTAGTTAGCGGCCTGTGTGCCTTGACACTTTATGACTTGTTTAAATTGTTAGTTTATCCCGCCAGTGCACCTTTGTCTGAGATAGGTGTGGCATAACGACATACCCTGATTTTATATAGCTTCCGTTGTTCTATGTCTTGATGATTAGATGTTTGCTTGTGCATTTAAGTTTTAAAAATGTGGTAAAAATCGGGGGTGTTACAAGCGACGTCCTCCGTGAGGTTTGACAAGATCGTCTACAGGTCGTCGCACTCAAAAACCTCGGAAAGGACCGACCGTACTTCCCCGGTGCGTATCCCTCTGCCTGGACGCGTACGCCCAGTTTCCGAACACCCACATCATGTCCTCGGCCAGCTTGTGCTTCATGAAGGCCTTGAAGAACTATTCGGCGGACGCTTGGTCTCGACAAAGGAAGACGGCTAAACCGTTTGGGTCTTGCAACTGCAGTCGGAGGTCCTCGACCTCCTTTTTGGCTCCGGCGGTCTCCCCGATGGCCTTTTTGGCGATGGTCTCGGCGATCGCCTTGTCATCCTCGGGGCCTTGAGTTTTTTCCGCAAGTCCTTCACCTCCCTCTTCAAGGAGTCGAACTCCGCTCCGCCTTTCGATCAGTAGTAGAGCGAGGTCAGAACCCAAGTCAGCTGCCAGAAACCCAGTTAGACCATGTATCGAAGTTAAGATAGTCCTAAGAGTCGGAGAAGGAAAATACCTGCACCAAGCTCTGAGCCCCCCGTTCCGAGACCTGTTCCGGAATCTAGCCGGGCATGTCGTCTTCGACCGGGAAAATAGCGCTCATCTTCGCCAGCGGATTGCCCGGGAGATCCCTGCCCGTCAGGGAGTTCATCAGCGGGGTCAAGTTCAGAGGACTCTGTCGGCGGGCACGCTTGAGGACGCCCCCGGACTCGCCGACCTTCTCTTTTCCCCGTTTGCTGGGGGCCTTGACGATCTGCAGATCCGACCCCGTGCTAACGGTCGGTGCCGCCGCGTCCACGCGTGCGGTCGTATCCAACGGCACGGCGACTGGGACCACGGGAGCAGACTGTAACACCCAACTTTTCTAATTCTTAATTACAACTCTAAGCAGTCATTAACATAAACTGAGCAGCGGAAATAATAACTAAAAAGATAACTAATGGGAGTGTCACCGCCACAACCACCACTCCGTGGTGATTGCACAGGCTAAGGGGTGAAACTAGAAATAAGATAAAAATCTGGGATCCATATAGAATACTGAAAACATAAGGGGGAAAAACGTCACCCCAAAAGTCTGCATCATCCTCAAAAACCAAAACATCAATAATGAGTCTAAAATCCATAACAAAGTCATAAATAACTAGAGTTTAGACATCTCAAACTACGAGACTAATCTAACTCGATCTCTTCCCACTGTTGGGCCCACCCGAAAGGGGTTTTGCAAGCAACACATAGACAAATAGGAAAACACCCGTTAGCACGAAGCTAAGTATAACCACACTCAACCCTGTAAAGAATTATAGCATATACTTTGAAAACATTTGATTTCTCTTGTAAACAACAAACTCATCTCAAATCATCTTTAGATCTATCACATACTTTCTAGATGCTTGCAACCTATAATATCAACTGCCTTGCTTATATATATAAGACTGAACACTTAGATACTTCAACATATAAAATTCTCAATTAATCTTGACAAGCATTTCATGCTTACAGGTAAGATCATGCTAATAAACCATATAACATGTATTCTCATGCTTTCACATTCTCATCACATAACTTGATAAACAAGGCTTCTAATACAACAAAATAATCATGCTCGATGGACAATCTTAAATCAACATTCTCATTATATAATCTCATGCGATACTCTACTCAAATGCAATCTCGTGCAATACTATACATCATTCTCATATGCAATCTCGTGCAATACTATAATCATACTCTTATGCAATCTCGTACAATGCTATAAACATACTCATATGCAATCTCATGCAATACTATAATCATACTCATATGCAATCTCATGCAATACTATAATCATACTCTTATGCAATCTCATGCAATGCTATAATCATACTCTTATGCAATCTCGTGCAATGCTATAAACGTACTCATATGCAATCTCGTGCAATACTATAATCATACTCTTATGCAATCTTGTGCAATGCTATGTATATATATACTCATACACTCTTTATAAAAATAGAGTACTTTCCGTGGAGGTCTCTTTCTTACTTTCTTTCTTACGATTGAGTTTCTCTTGACTCGCTTTCTTTCTCTTGAGTCTCTCTTGACTCACTTTCTTTCTCTTGAGTCTCTATTGACTCACTATCTTTCTTTTTACTCGTAGACGACTTAGGGTTTCACCGAAGCGTGAATTACTCCATCGGGAACGGCATAAATCCGACCCAATATCTCCTACCGTATACGGAACCAATCTCGTGGTTCTATCTCTGTGGAATCAGGTATCGAACTATTAGTGTGCACACCCCCTAACCAGGATTCCAAGCCTGGCGGGAAGTTTCCAACCTCGTAACGTGGGAATACGCCGCGTTACATATTCTGGGACCGCAATGTCCATAAATATCTCCTGAGAGGACATAGTCCAAACGGTATCCTCCAAAACCTCACCAATATAGATAATGCATAGATATATCTCTCACGCATCAATCTCATGCATGCAAACAAATCTACTATTTCTCAATGCATCAAAGAATGATATACCACATGCTTATGGTTTTTAGAAAGTATTACTCGGGCTCACGTTGGCCCCTTATGCATTTTTGAAATATGATATATGTGAGATGCCAAAATGCTCTATAACATGCTTCTAAGCCATGTATAAAATATCATGAAGTATTCAAGAATATAATGTCATGCTCGGTTTGCAACATAGCAAATTCTATACATTTCACTTCAACAATTACGCTTCTATTCTCATTGATCAAATAACACAATTTAATCACGCTTTCATAATAAATCATATTCTCACATGATCATGCTTCTATACTCAATAAAAACATCATCAGATCACATAGTTAAATAATGCTTTATACACACTAAACTAGCAAATATATACTCTATGTAGCAATTCTTCAATAATTCCTTCATAACATACTCATTTTTTATCCAAATTCAACGAAATTAAAGCCAAAACGTGCGTCGAGACGGTCCTGAAGAGCCGAGCCACAAGGGCCCATAACACTCAGCCCGAAATGACACGTAGCTGAGCCACAAGGGCCTGGCCACTGCACAAAACCTTCTCAGAACAATTTTCAGGGACCTGAGGCAGGACTCCTCACGAGCCGCCCCATGAGCCCCGTTACTCCATCGGGACTAGGCGGCGGCCCTCCTCTAGGGCCGTGCCCTAGTCCCGTGTAACCATGGCTCTAGCCGGCGGCCCTCCTGATGGGCCGCGGCTAGAGCCGCTGGTCTGATCTGGTGCACCCTATGTGTGCACCAGATGGCATTTTCATCTGCAAATCTCAATCCAAACAAGTCCAAAGCATTCTCAACAACTCACATACAAATACTAGATCACTTCTAGGCATAAACACAACAAAATCTCATAGTTTCTACTCATTTCTACTCAATATTAAGGCTTCACAGAGCCAAATTTCGAGAAGGAATCCATGGGGTTATACCTCTTGTAGTTCTTCTTCTAGCATGGATCTCTTCTTCCTCCTAACCTAGCTAGTGCCTCCTTTACCACTGTGATGTTTTCTCCCTTCTACTTTGGCAAACAAAATGTTTGGAGAGGCAAAGAAAGAGATCAGGAAACCAACAATGGAATAGTGATGTTTATATAGGTAGGGGTGTCAATGTGGGCCGGCCCGCCTCATTAGGCCCGCCCCACCGTGGGCTTTTGCGGGCCGGCCCACGAAGCCCGCGGGCTTAGAACTATACAGCCCAAGCCCGCCCCATGCGGGCTTGCGGGTCTCGCGGGCCATCACTTAAATTTAAAAAAAAAAACATTAAATAGTATATAAACATGTTAAAACCGCTTGAAATATGGCACCGGAAACTTCCATAAAATCCATAAACATCGCCCAAATCTCCCGGATCGATACCGCGCGTTGAGCAGAACTGTAGAAGGGTGATCAAAGGTAGGGTTCAACAGCACACTCTATTTCTCTCTCGTCTTCAGATTTTCCCTCTTCAATTCCTGTCTATGTATAATACATATATAAATATGTATGTTTGCTGGACTTGGAGGCTATTTAGTAATTCATAAATATGTATGAATTGATGATTTAGTTTTAGTAATTGTTTGATAGAATTGGAGGCGGAGGGAGACGGAAGAACCGAAGAACTACGTACTCTAGGAATTATTGAATTAAGAATTGGCGAAGGATTATTGAATTATTGGATTTCTCCGCTTCTACGTACTCTTAGATAGTCAGATCTACACACTGCCTAAGAATTAAGATATTATATATATGGTTTTTTTTAA